GCTTTACATTCTGTCTCTATTTTGAATAATACATGGGTGATTGATTCTGGTGTCACTGATCATATGACATCAAATTCAAAAATGATTACTAGTATTACCCCCATCATATCAGACTTTTGTTTCCACAACTAACGGTGCTCCAGTTCCCGTTATGGGAAAAGGACCCGTTAATCTATCAAACACCAGGAACCTTACCTCTGTCCTAGTAGTACCATCCTTAGATTATAACATATTATCTATTTCTCAAATAACTAATGCTTTACATTGTGTTGTTATCTTCTGGCCTTCTCATTGTATTTTTAAGGATATACAGACGAAGAGGATGATTGGTTATGGCGTTAGGCGTGAAAAGTTGTACTACCTGGACCTGGAGTTGAAGAGCACAACCCTGAACACTAGTACCCCTAGGAAGAAAATTACAGATGATCTTTGGCCATGGCATCGTCGGTTAGGTCACGCATCGTTTGGCTACTTAAAGAAACTATTTCCCCGTTTATTTAATAAAGTTGATTGTTCTGTTTTTCATTGTAAGATTTGTGAACTGTCTAAAAGTCATCGAACTTCCTTTAAACCTTCAATGAATAAAAGTTTAGTTCCATTTAATTCATTCTGATGTATGGGGTCCCTCTCATGTTTTATCTTTAAGTGGTATACGGTGGTTTGTCACATTTATTGATGATTGCACTCGAATGACATTGGTGTGTCCTATGAAGTCCAAGGGTGAAGTTAGTAGTTTGTTTCAGAAATTTCATAAACAGATCAGTACACAGTATAACGCTACCTGATACGGACAGTCCCCCATCGGAAGACCCGAAACATAATGCATCTCGTGCAAGGCCAACCCTAGCTCACCACCGCTGGTCAGGAAGGTGTTGCTATCGGGCATATAAGTCTCCAGCAAAGCCAAGAAATGGCGACAGCTAACTGGGATTCCGTACATAGTAGCTCGTATGGGTGCATATAACCCACTACTCTTCAGATCCCTCTCCCAGCGCGCCAAGACGAAATCAGTCATGCGCGCCCACCACCCTTTGGCTAGTGAGGAAGCCCAGCCATAGCATCTGGGCTCTGGTGGAGGTAATCGCCTCCCCAGAAGAGCCAGACGATTACCCACAGTAGAGGCAGCTGCTGACGTCTCACCTGGGGGTGCAGTATCAAGGCCCGTGATCCCTGGGCAAAGACCACGAATATGGTGATACCCGCCAGAACCAGGGGTCTTAGAATGAGAGGTATATCCACACGGGACTCGCTCAGCATCCTTAGTAAGATCCCAGGACATCTGTCGCCTCACGGCCTGTCTCCTCAAATGGGTAAAAGAATATTGGCGGGGAATTGATGGAATGTATAAAAGAGCTCCTCCATCAAGAGTCAGCCAGTGCTCCTCTCCAAGAGTCAGTATAGCGGGGTCCTCGACATGATCCCCGAACAAGAAGCTCGGCTTCTGTAAAGCCTGAGTGGAAGTAGAATCAGCGGTAAAAGTGGCGTCTGTGATAAGCTGGCGCAAGCAATGGCGCCCTCCTTCCCGTACTAAACGGCAGGAATCGTCAGAACAATCCTGGTCAAACCGTGGGAATGGGCTAATGACTTGCCCAATGGAAGTGGAGAAAAAAACCTCCCGGCTACAACCGGCATTGGGTGAAGTTAGTAGTTTGTTTCAGAAATTTCATAAACAGATCAGTACACAGTATAACGCTACCATTCGAGTTCTTCGCAGTGATAATAGCGGTGAATATATTGGTACCGAATTACAGGCATATTTCAAACTTCATGGCATTGTTCATCAGACTACCTGCACATATACCCCTCAACAAAATAGGGTTGCTGAATGAAAAAATCACCATTTGTTAGAAGTTGTTCGGGCATCACTAATCAGGGCAAAGACACCTGCATCTTATTGGTGTGAAGCCCTCTCCTCGGATGCTTATTTGGTGAATCGCATCCCCTCCGCCATTCTTGACTTTCAGACACCCTTCAACGTCTTAACTAAACTTGCCTCAGCACCTACCATACCAAATCTTCCTCCCCAGGTGTTCGGATGTGTTACATTTGTTCACTTACCAAAGAAGCAACAGAACAAGCTCGAACCTCGCGCCCTCAAGTGTATTTTTGTCGGGTATACCTCATCCTAAAAAGGTTATCGGTGTTATCATCCTCCCACACAGAAAATGTTTGTCACCATGGATGTGACATTTCATGAAGATACTATGTACTTTGAACGGGCTGAACTTCAGGAGGAGCATTATAAGGAAGTTCGGTTATTTGGAAATACTAGTGAGGAAGAGATAAGATCAATAGAAGTGCTCCTAACTTTGACTTCAAGTCCAACATCGGCAACTGAGACAATCGAAGTAATGCCATTTCCTGATATGGCAACAGCAAAAACCCTGCCGAATAAAGTTGTGCAGTCCCCGCCTGACTCGAATAACCAATCGTCCACTTCAGATATCCCTGAAATTGAGTCCTCCCATGTATCACCTTCTTCTATTCCTAGAAAACAACTTCCCAATCGAGCAAATAGAGGTGTACCCAAACCCACATATGATCCAGACTTTATAAGTAAAGCCAAATATCCTATGAGTAATTATGTGTCTTATGATCAGTTAACTTCATCTAACAAATCCTTTGTGAATCAATTATCTTCTGTATCTATTCCTAACAGTGTGTAGGAAGCTTTATGTAATCCAAAATGGAAATCAGCGATGGGCGAGGAGATGAAGTCATTATTAAAAAATGACACATGGGAATTAACCGAGTTACCAGTAAGAAAGAAGAGGGTGGGATGCAAATGGGTGTACACTATGAAATTCAAAGTAGATGGAACAATTGAAAGATTCAAAGAGAGACTAGTTGCAAAAGGCTACACACAGACACACAGGATTGATTATTTGGAGACATTCGTACCCGTGGCAAAGATCAATATCGTGCGGGTGTTACTCTCATTAGCTACTAATTTGGACTAGCCTCTACAACAATTTGATGTAAAAAATGCTTTCCTACATGGAGAGTTAGAGGAGGAGGTGTATATGGAGTTCCCACCTGGATATGCTTTCCTACATGGAGAGTTAGAGGAGGAGGTGTATATGGAGTTCCCACCTGGATATAAGATCCCGATTGAGCATACAAAGGAGGTGTATATGGAGTTCCCACCTGGATATAAGATCCCGATTGAGCATACAAATAAAGTCTGCAAGTTGAAAAAATCCTTGTATGGACTAAAGCAATCCCCCAGAGCCTAGTTTGGGAGATTCACGGGATCGATGCGAAAGTTCGGGTATAGTCAGAGTAATTCTGATCATACTTTGTTTTTGAAGAAGAGTCATGGGAAGATTACGGCACTTATCATCTATGTCTATGACATGGTCCTCACAGGAAATGACCCTCATGAACAACAGGCATTGAAGAACCACCTATCTCAGGAGTTCAAAATGAAAGACCTTGGGGACTTTGTATTTTCTGGGGATCGATGTGTCTAGGTCATCGAAAGGCATCTTCCTATCTCAGAAGAAATATACCCTAGATTTACTAAATAAAACTGGGATGTCTGCTTGTCAACCATCAGAGACTCCAATGGAAGGAGTGAAGTTGGAAGTTGAAACAGATCAAGTGCCCGTCGATAAAGGACGCTATCAGAGATTAGTGGGGAAATTGATGTATCTGGCACATACAAGGCCTGATATATCATATGAATTGAGTACCGTCAGTCAGTTCATGCATAATCCAGGGGAGAAGTATATGCAGGTAGTTATGAAGATCATCAGGTATCTTAAGGTAGCTCCTGGAAAAGGAATCATGTTTCAAAGAAATGAGGACTTCCTGAAGGTTGAAGGATATACTGATGCTAATTGGGCGAGAAATATATGTGATCAAATGTCTACATCAGGGTACTTCACATTTGTAGGGGGAAAATTGGTCACTTGGAGGAGTAAGAAGCAAAATATGGTATTCCGATCAAGCGCAAAAGCATAATATAGAGGAATGGCAGTCAGTATCCAAGAGTTATTGTGGTTAAAATTACTACTGACAGATCTAGGTTTCCCTCCAAAAGAACCTATGATGCTATACTGTGATAACAAAGCAGCATGCGATATCGCACATAATCCAGTTCAGCATGATAGGACAAAGCATGTAGAAGTAGACATGTTCTTCATCAAAGAAAAGTTAGAAGAGAAAGTCATTTCCGTCCCTCATGTACACTCGGAAGATCAGTTAGCTGACATACTCACCAAGGTAGTAACGAGGAAGATATTTGCCAAGTTGATTAGCAAGTTAGGCATGTTTGATATATGTGTGCCAACTTGAGGGGGAGTATTATAGATATATATGGTATAGTTGACTATCACTATGATTCCTAGAATCATGAGATATTATTATTACTTCCTTGTATAGCTCCTTCTCTCCCTATATAAGGGACCATTGTATTCTTTCATTGATCAAGAAAATATCACAACATTCTCTCAATATTCCTTCTCTATACTCGTCAACACTAGAGAATTACAAATTACTTCTAACATAGATGTCGTAAGTGAAATTCTTTTGACCCTCTTTAGGGAGTCTGTCTGCAAGGTGTAGTAAGTTCAATTTGCAGACAATATCCACATTTAAACTTAGAATATATAGCTCTTGGACTTTATCATAATTTTGGAGTTTTAATGCAGTGGTAATGACTTTAAGATGATACTAGAGTCACTCAGACTAACATCACAATTGACATGAATTTAAAACTGACTCAAGAAGAAAAAAGATATTATTGTGTGAGTCTGAGTTTGGCCCATGAAAAGACTCTCAACTTGTAGGAACATGGTAGGGTATAGAATTATGATCTTCACCACACAACTTTGGAGTTTTGACATAACAGAAAAGACTTCAAGAATATATATTAACCCTTTTCTTTTAATGACATATTAGTTGTGATTTGGATAGTTACTAATGTTGTAGGATGTCAGCCTGACGACTGTCAACTTCAATCTGTCTGTCTTGATGAATCTATCAAATATACACCAACAAAGAATCAATGGTCTTTCCAAGAAATCATGCTTTAAATCATTGTACAAAAGGTCAACAAAAGTTAAACAAAGATCAAACAAAATAAGAAAAACGTAGAAAAAGTAAAGGTAAAGAAAACAAGAAAAGCCTCATCATCATCTTTTTTTTTTCTCCCTTTTCTCTGTACACATAAAGCCCATTCCTTTTGCAAAACTTGGGCTCCATTGAGAGCGGGCTGCCTCCTTTCTTAGTAGTTATTGTGAGGGGGGGTCAATCTTACATTATTTTACACATAACAAGGATCACAACTTTGGCAAATTTGTATCACATTTGAGACATGCATCTCCTATGACAAGCAATTATGTGCTTTGCTTGCCTTGTCTCCTCCTTCCAAACTTTGCCGATGTCCTCTGCTATCCTCACTGCATCTAAAGAAGCACCAGAGAGCCCTCTCCTCGTAAACCCAACTGCATATAATCCTGACTTCCCTTTCCATCCGTTAGGAAATTGTTCTTTAGGAAACCCATCTTTGTTAAAGAAGTCACTTCCCTGAGAAAATACACAAAAAACCCATGTCAACTAATTAACTTAACTAAATTAACTGTCATGTTTACTTTAAAAAAAAGGATTAACTGCGGACGGACACCCTATGGTTCTATTGCTAAATTTTTAAGATCTTTTATCCTTCAGAGAGAGCGAGATAATTGTTTTCTGACAAATGGAACTGCATGGCGCCTATCCGCAATTGGATGATAGTATAATGGGAAAAAAAACAAAAATGTAAATTACCTGAAGCCAAGATGGGACGTTGCTACTATACCCAGTTGCAAAAATAACGGAATCTACATCGAGTACTCTTCCATCGACAAGCTCGACCTTTCCAGGAGAAAATTTCTTGATTCCAGGCACAATTTTGATCTCCTCTGATCTGATCCTTTTCAGAGCTCCAATGTCTAAAACAGGGGTTTTTCCCTGTGTGTTCTTGAGCTCTAAAGGCCCAATATCTGGCCTTTTGAGCCCATATTTCTCTACGTTGCCGAGCACAATCCTAGCCAGGGCCAGCACAATTTTATCGGCAAACTTCACCGGAAGCCACTTCATCAGCGTAACAGCCAGCTCGAAAGTCGACTTCCCAAGAATTTCCCTCGGCAATACGTGAACCTGAAAGAGCAACTCAATCAATACTGTAAATTTTATTACGGAAGAGAAAACTACACACGGGATGAATATTTACTTACCGAGTCACGAACAACCATGGAAGGCCGAGAATTGTGCAGACAGAGATCTAAGCAGAGCTCCATGCCAGAATTTCCACAGCCAACAACAAGAACTTTCTTCCCTTCGAAGTCTTTACCTGACTTATAATCGCAAGCGTGCATTTTTAACCCACCAAAGTCCCTGATTCCTTCGAATTCAGGAATCAAACTCTCTGCATTTTCTCCGGTAGCAACTACGAGCCACTGGCAAATGTACTCAACCTCAGTCTTTTTACTCACAGTCCTCACTCTCCAAATCCCCCCAACTTCATCGTACTTGGCCGATATCACTGTTTCATTGAACTGAGGGTTGAGATCAAACTTAGTTGCGTAGGACTCTAGGTATTCAATGAACTGGTCTTTTGATGGGTACTCAGGGTAGTTTTCAGGAAATGGGAGTTTAGGTAACTGGCAGAATTTTCTGGGTAAGTGGAGTTTCAGGCGATCGTAAGTCCGTTTCTGCCAGAGTGAGGCGATGCAGTCTGACCGCTCGAGGATGACGAAAGGGACGCCGTGCTCCTTCAGGCAGGCTCCAACGGCGAGGCCCGATGGACCTGCGCCGATTATAAGTGGGCCGTTTACCCAAATGCACCGGCCCGAGAATAGCTCATCAGTATCAGAGGCACAAGCCATGATCAAAGGCTAGAGAGGGAGAGAAAGGAAGAGCGCTAGAGAGAGAGAGAGAGAGAGAGAGAGAGAGGTTGATATTGATGAGGAAGTGAAAGAGAAAGGATATGGGTATAAATAGAGGAGGGTGCCATGAAAGAGCATGTGAGGGGGGTTTTGGGGGTCAGTCTCAAATGATAAGCATAGCAGTCAAGCTCAACTGTTTAATAAAATTGCAATATTTAATCATGATTTTATAAGAATCTTGAGGTTTTATGTAAGTTTCAGATTCAAAAATGGAATCTGCCCCCAGTTTGTTAGCATACAGATGGGAACTCAGAATCCAAGCACACAGAGTCAAAAGGAATTTGATACCAAGCATTAGATGACAATATTTGTATGGCCTCATCTCTACTTTTCTGCGCCTAGATCTTCACCATATTCAGGGAACAATTACCAATTTAGTGGCACATTTTTTGGTTTTTTTTAATTTTATTTTATTGATGCTGGTAGGCTGTCTAAAAATTACTACAGATGGCTAATTCCCACCAAACACTGATAATGGAAGTTACAATTCGACGACTTCCATAAGGCTACAATTTGGAGACTTTCACGACAATCAACGAATGTTACAATTCAACGAACTTCACAACAACCGATGGAAGTTCTGATTCAACAGCCTTCACAATCATCAACAAGAATTACAACTGACAACTCTCACATTCCAAGGAGCCGAGATGAAGATTATAATCTTTACAACACTCTAAACAAAGAGACTACAAATCAATAGTCTCTTCAACTCAGAACACAGAGTTCGCCTATGCGTTTCAAGAATAAAACGCAAAGCTCACTTCTGCGTTGCAAACAACAAAAACGCAGGGCTCACCACTGTTTTTTCAGCTCAACATGCAGAGCTCAACTCTGCGTCCCAAGTCCAGAATGTAGAGTTCGTGCCCAGAACGCAAGTGTTGCGTTTGACTTGTTCAAACACGAGTTGGACGGTTCAAAAAACCGTTTCCAACGATTTGAGGGGGATCACACCCCACTTAGGAGCGGTTTTAGAGGTTAGTTACACCCCTTAATCCCCTATAAATAGCTGAAAATCAGCTTAGATCAGGGGGGCTTTTGCGGATTTTTTTGGAGAGATCTTCAAGCAGATTATCTTTGGAGATATGGAAACCACCTAAGGAGATCGGCGATCTTTAGGAGCTGTTCTTGGAACTTTTCTTTATTCTTGGCTATAAGCCGATTTCGGTTAAATCAAATTAATTCTATTACAGAGTTTTAAACTCGTTTTGAGTTATTAACTCGTTAAGAGTTACAAACTTGCCACGCAAGTTCTCCTCAACGTCAATAGACCGTGTTCCATGAGGCGAAGCGTTCAGATCGTCAACGGGATACAAGATTCAAGCTCCCATCGACACTAAGAAGAACTCAGTTTTAAACAAAGGGGAGGGTCTCCGTCGATCCCTTCCTATTTTTGTAAATCGGGATACCGATCGAGAAGATTGTAATTTTTTTTCTAAGCCAGTTAGAGAGAGATTGTATTCATTCTTTTCCTGAGCTAGTTAAGGAGATTAATACAGAATTTTATTCTCATTTTTTCTCACAATTTTCCCGCAAACAATGCTCCTAAAATCTTTAACATTTGTATATTAACATTATCAAATCTTAATAATCATTTGAGTTCTGACAAAAACCCACCTTCCGTTATTTCCCTGTTTACGGTTTACCTGTCAGAAAACACTGGGGGTTCTCAACTGTGGACGTTATGGAAATATTTGTAGATTTCATACTATTTGTGGTCCCAAATTGGTAATTTTTAATATTTATGATAATTTTGAAGTATCCTTATAAACTGAAAAGGATTACGACCAAGTATGTTCACTAAACCCTCCTACCCCACACCTCTGTATTCTTTTTATAGCTTAATTGCACATAGTTTCGTTGTTGCAGATAGACCACGGATTTGGATCCTCTCCACTACAAAAAAGTAGTGGAGAGATCACTGCTTTTAATCTCAATCGTTGATTATTTAGTAGGCGGTTATGATACAATTTAAATCTAACACTTACCATACCCCCGTGTATTGCACTCATTCCTAATTTACACTAAAAAAAAATCACAATCATTAATTAGATAATCAATGGCCGTGATAATGTAGTGGTCCCTCCACTGTTTTTTTTATAGTGAAGAGGATCTGAATCCATAGACCACCGCTTAAGTTTTCACCCAGAATAGTATCAGTCAAAATTCCACCCAGGATAAAAGAGTAAAAAAATAAACTCCTGGGGACTATCTGCAATAATGAAACTACAAGAATAGTATGTTCAAATAGGCGATAGTATAGGTGGTCTCTGTGCAATTAACCCTTCTTTTTATTATGATAAACAAATGGGTTAATTCCTCAGAATGATGAAGAGAGTAACAATGGAGATTTCTGAAGCTTTTGTTTGCCAGTATACTCAAAACTCCAAATGACTAGAGTGACGCCCATATTTCATTATATACATAGATGAAGGAATTGCATTAATTAGTGTACTTTTTCTACTGTCTATTTCATTTAATAGTTTGATAGATTGTTTCTACGTACATATATAGAACTCCGGCTCATCATTATGGAGACCAACAAATATCTTGGTATATGATGACACACTTTTTCTTCTCTTAGTGGTTTGTCAATTTTGGTTCTGGAAAATGTTTCGAGATCTTTTTTTTTCATATGTGAAGAATTTGGAAGTTTCCTGATACGTCTTGTTGTGCTCTAATACCAATTGTTGTTGAAAACCGTGTCAAAGAACCAAACCAAACGCCGATCAAAGAGGGCCAAAACCAACCAAAATCAATGCACAAACAAAACACCAATTTTAACGTTGTTCGGCAAGTTACCTACGTCCACGGGGCAAGGGGGGATAGGGTTTTCACGAATAGAGAAAGAGTACAAACTGAGATTACAAATCACTCGAAGGAACAAACTAATCTCACCAACAAAACTCTTAATCTCTCCAAAATAAAACCCTAATCAAAAGCTCAAAAAATACCTCTTTTGTGCTCCAAATATCCCCCAATCAATGCTTAACCAAAGCCCAATCAAAGCCTAAACAAAGCCAAAGAAATCCTAAAAAACGTGTTTCTATTTATAACAAAACACAATACCAAACTGATTAGGATTCTAAAAATAAGTCTGCCACACCCTGGTGTGGCACACACTACACACATGACAAACAGGACAGATTCTGTTACACCAGAGTGTGGCAGACACCACACCAATGGTAGACAGAGCAGATTCTGCCACACCCATGGCAGACACCACACCAGGGTGTGGTGGAGCCTGTTTTGCTTATTCTTCATGTTTTTCTCAATTTCTTTCTCAATTTCTTCGTCGTTTTTACAATTCTCCACATCGGCGAAGTTTTTTCAAAACTGAGCTGACACCAACCAAACCAAATGTCCAACTTGTTACGTTCAGGACGTCGTGGAAACTCTTCACGATAACGGACTCAAACCATAACAAGTCGAGACCCAAATAAGAATGCGAACACTCTCCAAACATCGATGTCTACTCACCAAATTGGCTGCATTAAAACTGACTGCCTACGTATCCTCTTGCCCAATGAATTAAGCCTTCACGTAGTTCACCCAAATGGCCTCCAAAGGCCCTCGATCTAATAGAAAAGTCTGCAACTCTTCCCCAATATCACCAACAGATCTGCAACTGATAGTGGCCCCAAACTGATACAAATCAAACACCTTCATCTGAGGTGAACCAATGACCGTATCCAAATCATGTCCACCAGCTGCAACCGAATCCAAAACCAATCCATCATCTGCATCCGAAATCAAATGATCCCCAACCTATGCCACCTCAGCTAGAATCCCAAATAACGCAGTATAATCTGGAGTATGTGGAATAAGTTCCACCCAACGTGAAGTAGCATCACCCTCCACCTGCTACGATATCCAAATGACCTGATCAACACTCTCCACCTGCTGAGAGTCAAAAGTGACATTTCTGCTCAGAACAAAATCAGAAGCTCCCAAACGATAATCAAATAAGCCTCTGAATCCCAAATACGCAATCGGATCAAATCTCACATCCTCGATGTGACCAAATGTTGAGTAACCAAATATCCGACGTCAACCAAAATCTAAAGCAGCTCCACCAGATCCAATAACTCCTAATGCACCAGTCGGCGACCTATGACTAAGATGACTCAAATATGTCGAAACTCCAGAACCAGAACCAATGCTCGACAACCAACGTCGATCCTCCTCCAGAAAGGATCCAGAACCAGAACCAATGCTCGACAACCAACGTCGATCCTCCTCCAGAAAGGAACGACCCATCGAAACTATCATCTCATCTCGTCGCCCCAAACCGATCCTCCTCCAGAAAGGAACGACCCATCGAAACTATCATCTCATCTCGTCGCCCCAAAGTCTCCACATCAATGAAGTGTTTCAAGTTGCCATGAGCTCAGCATAAACGCAAGAAAGGACCCCTACCAAAGCTAGAACAACGAGTTACCTTTCTGCCAATACACTTCTTCCAATTGTTGTTGACTTCTAGGACTGTACACCAACGGGAACTGGTCGCGACCCAATAATGCCTAGGACAATCACTAACTGCGAAAACTACAAAACGATTACCTCCTAATGATGCCTCCTTGGAAGGCCCCTAAATGCTTGACTGAACACCTCCTAAAAGACCCCTCGCTCGATGGATAGAAGTGCCTAACTCCACCACGATCTTGCTCATCCCAATGTGCTCAAAGGACTTCTATCTGTAGGTCAAAGCACTCCTCAACAGTCTATGCACGACATTACCAATCAAATAACCCAGCATCAAACAACGTCACAGTCTAGCCGAATCTGATAAAGTCGTCAGCTCCCTATCAATCGCCCAGCTCCTAAGCAAACAGTATAAGTTACTCCTTCTGACGCCCTTCATCACAATCATGGACCCAAATGTAACCTTCAAACGTACATCCGTCAAGATCACCCTATAGCCTGCTGCCTCCAAAGCTCCAAGTGAAATAATGTTCTTCTTCAATTGAGGAACGAACCTCACTCCAACCAACTCCCGAATCACTCTGTCACTCATCCTAATCTGAATGATGCCAATACCACTAATAGGGCATTCATGATCATTACCCATGAGCACGAAATCCCCTCTTTCTAACTTCTGAAAGCTGGAGAACCAATCCCTCCTAGGGTAAATATGATATGTAGCACCC